CAAGAAGTCTGGAATTTCTGACAAGCTGAGGCAGGAGGACTGCAAGACCTATGCCAGGCTGGATAACTCACTGAGGTCCTGTCTCAGAATTCAAAAATAAACAGGGCCTGGGATTTAGCTCAGTGGTAGAGCACTTGCATAGCACCCTAACTCCAGAAGTATATCTCAGTGAGTCACTGTCAAAAATAACTGAAAGCCAGATTCCTAGGAACCAATGAAACAAAGCAATTAATGCGAAGGACCCGAGTGGGACTCCATCCGGTGATGCTACAGACAGTGCGTAGCTGTCCACAGCTGCTCATACCTGGACCTGAGAGGTTCTTCCAGCTGGGGGTGGGCAGGGGCGAAGGCGTTACGCAGATGAACCTCTGGCTGACATGGCAAGAAAGAAAATTCACTTCTGTATCACTTCTTTTTTTTTTGGCGATACCAGGGACTGAACTCAGGACCTGTGCCAGGCAGGTGTGGTACCGCTGAGCTAAATCCCTGGTCCTATATCACTTTTATAAATGTACTGGGTTTCAGTGATCCCTCACCTAGGTATCTTCCCCAGAGAGCTTAAGACATCATTCTACAGCAGTTCATGCATATCAATGTTTGCAGCAGCACAACTCACAACAGCTAAGTCCTGTGCGCAGCCTGTGTGCCCATCCACAGACTGGACAGAAAAAGTGTGGTATCTACATGACGGAATACAAAATGACACATCTGAGACAGGTACAGGAGAATGGGTGCACGTGGAGAACAGAATGTTGTGTGAAATAAACCAGACACACAAGCTTAAGTGCCACAGGGTATCTCTCATCTGAGCGAGGTAAAGTAGAAATAAAGAAAATGGTAAGGGACGGATGGAAGGAGACAAGGGGACAGAGTCCCTGCAACAGGGAAGTGGACCAAGGAATGAGGGAGAGGGGTGAGGAGGAGGGGAAGGGGAAAGAAGAAGAAAGATGTGCCACACACAGGAACCCAATTAACCCCAATTAATGTACACACTGTGCCATACATGGGGAACCGGTGGGGGGGGGCTTAAAAACAGCATCACCCTGTAATCTGTACATACAACCACACCCCCAGGTGACTGCAAACTGCAGAACTGCAAACATGCACAAATAAGATTTCCTTTATGTGTCCGGGTTTAGGCAGGCAAGGTGGCATCCACCCAGATTCCTAGCTCCTCAAGAGGCTGAGGCAGGAGACCGAATGGTGACTCCTGACATGCTGTCAGGCTCGTGCTTCTCCCTCCTCCCACAAGAGCCCTCTGCTGAGAGGTGGCCTGGCCACATCTCCCAGCCCTGCCCGGCTACATCAACCTGTAGCCACTCCTGACACTTGCGCTGTGAAGACTGATCATCCTCACCCACCTCTTCACGGGGCCACCACACCATCCCCAGGGGCAAAATGACCAGGACAGAAATGTTCTAGAGCAATGGAACATGGAGGCCACCCCCAGGAAAGAGGGCTCAGGTGCTGCTGCAGCAAGAGTAGAACCAGGGACTCTTAAGCAGAGCCAGGAGGACCCTGAGGGGGGCAGCGGTCTTCTCCCTTCGCACACCCACACTGCCCCACACCTTGCAAATCAGGCCTGTCTGCTCTATCGGCAGCAGCGTGCAGCCCACCTGACACTAAGCCAGGAAGCAAGCAAGGGCTGAAAGCCATACAAAGAGATTGGAAAGAGATTGCTCAATTGGGGCCCTAGGGGCAGGCAGAGGGAGACGAGGGCTCTCCTGAGCTCAAGGCCAGCTTGGAGCACAGACTCCATTCTCAAGAAAAAACAGAACAGGAAGGGTCCAGGTTTTAGCCAAGAGGTGCGGCCACCTGCCTCACAAGCGCAAGGACCTGAGTTCTATTCCTGGTATAAAAAAAAACCCACCACACAAGAAGAAGAAGAAGAGAAAAGGCCCAGGTCAGTTATCTTTTGGGGATGTTTTCCACTCACATGTCATCCTTGTATTTACCAATTTATGACATTTTTGTGCTTGCTGCTGGTTCCCTGCCAGTCTCTCTGTGCTTTCGGCAGCAGCAGGAAGGACTGCGTGTGCTGCCATCTGCCTCTCCCTCTGCCTTCTTTGGGGAGGCAAGGGTTCCTAAGCACCACTTCTGAGAACAAGTGCTGGGCTATATTTACCACAGAGAAGACCCACTTTCTTCTTCAGGAACATAACTTCGCTTTAAACTTGACTTTCAGCCATGCGATGCATGAATTTGAGGGCAAACCTCCATCTCTGGACATCCTAGAGCCCACGAGTCAGAAGTCCTGTGCTTCAACTCAAGGCCCAGGGCAGCCCTGCCTCCCCAAGGGAGCGAGCACAGGGTGCCTGTGGCAAGACTCAGTGCTTTATTGCATGTGCTGTGGACAGAACTCACACTCTGTACAACCCAGGCCAGCTCTCTACCATGACACTACACACCTAGCCCGGGTTTCATCGTAAAGTGTGTAAATCATGCCCAGTGACTCCAAGAACCAGCCAGCTCCAACAATAAAATGGTAATTACAGCACGGGATTTAATTACACCTGTTGGGTCTGACACCTGGCAACACAGGCTCAAACGATCTGTGCTATTTGCAATCACACAACTACCATGGTTCTTAGTCTACTTTAAGGCAACTTCACTATGTTGTCGGGTTTTCCCTCTTTTGCAGTCCTGGAGACTGAAGCCAGGACTCGATCACTCAGCTGTGACCCCAGTGCAACAGGGATGCAGCAGCTACCAGCACCCAAGGATGCGTCTGCCTCGTCTTCTCTTCACAGCTATGCTCCCCAAGCATGGAACCCTGGCCACACAATCCCTCCCACAAGTTCAAAACGTACTGCTGCCTTCCAGCCCCAGAGTTCCTGACCAGAAGTCCGCCTCATCACATCCTTGTGTCCCTGAGGGGAACATGCCAGTTTTCTCTAGCTCCATTTCAGACTGTTTGTCAGGTTGATTACGTCACCGGGAATGGATTCTGTCATTTATCCTTTTGGGGTTCACTGCTGGAGTCATAAATCTTCCTCATTACCTGAGGAATTTCAGAGTTCAGTTCTATTAAGTTCATTACTAAAGCTTAAAGATTAACTGTGTAATGATCTTAAGTGTTAGGGAAATTTGATCAGTTAAAGATTACAGTTAAGATTTCATGAAATCTACTCTTCCTGTAAGCGGCCAGAGGTGACCTGTGAAAATGGTTCGCTACTCTCTTGACCCAGAAAACCCCACAAAATCATGCAAATCAAGAGGCTCAAATCTTCGTGTTCACTTTAAGAACACCCGTGAAACTGCCCAGGCCATCAAGGGTATGCATATCCGAAAGGTCACCAAGTATCTGAAGGATGTCACATTAAAGAAGCAGTGTGTGCCATTCCGGCGTTACAACGGTGGAGTTGGTAGGTGTGCCCAGGCCAAACAGTGGGGCTGGGCACAGGGCCGATGGCCCAAAAAGAGTGCTGAATTTTTGCTGCATATGCTTAAAAATGCAGAGAGGAATGCTGAGATTAAGGGGAGATGTAGATTGAGAGTAATGCTGAGCTTAAGGGTTTAGATGTAGATTCTCTGGTCATTGAACATATCCAGGTGAACAAAGCACCCAAAATGCGCCGCCGTACTTACAGAGCTCATGGCCGATTAACCCATACATGAGCTCCCCCTGCCACATTGAGATGATCCTTACTGAAAAGGAACAAATTGTTCCTAAACCAGAGGAGGAAGTTGCACAAAAGAAAAACATATCCCAGAAGAAACTGAAGAAACAAAAGCTTATGGCACGGGAATAAATTAACCATAAAATAAATGCAAATGAAAGTTAAAAAAAAAAAACAAAACATTTCATGAAATCTTAAAGAAAAGGAAAAGCAACAGTTTTAACTGGGGGCCAGGGTCTTGCTATGTAGTGCAGGCTGGCCTTGAACTCACAACATAGCCCAGGCTGCCCTCTGACTCATGGTGAGCCTCCTGACTCAGCCTCCTGAGTACTGGGATTACAGGTGTATGCCACCATACCTGGCAAGAAAAACTAACTTTAAAACCAGGTGTATATCCCTGCAATCCGTGTACTAAGGAGGCTGGGGCAGAAAGAGCACAACTTCAAGGCCAGCCGAAGCAGTCTAGTGATACCCTGTCTCAAAATAAAGAATAAAAAGGGCTGGGGATGTAGCCCAGTGGCACAGCACTTGCCAAGCACATGTCAGGCTCTGGGGCTGGTCCTCAGCACTGAAAAAGAAAAAAAAAAAAAAATTTAAAAATCAAAACTTCAGGGTCAGGGATTTGGCTCATTGGTTCCACCGCCTGCCTTGCAAATGCAAGGTCCTGAGTTTGATCCCCCGTGCCAAAAAAAAAAAAATCAAAACTTTAATTTTCATTGAATGTATTTTAAAACACAAGTGTGGCTGGGCATGGTGGCATATGCATGTAATCCCAGAATCCAGAAGGCTGAGACAAGAGCATCACCATGAGTTCAAAATCAGCCTGGACTACATAGTGAGAACGGGTCTCAAAAATATTTTAAAAACCAAGTGTTTTGTGTTCTCCTTGATGCAAAAACCCACTGTTCACAGGCAGAGGAGCCCTGCTAAGCCACCTCTGAGCACCACCACAACTGCCTGCTCAAGTGAGCTAACAGATCTGACCAAGCCCTGCTGCCATGGCCGTCCTCATCCACAGCACCCAGATGGCCAGCAGCAGCAGTGCCGGGGTCTCCAAGCGGCAGGCGCCTTATTCAAGGTGTGCGTGACTTCGGCCACTCACCAACACTGAGCTAGGTCCTCTGCGTAACCATCCCATGAGGACTAGAGATCACTCTAGTCAGCCGAGTGCTCAGAGAAACAAATGTCTCCAAAGTTCTCTAGCAAGTGTCAAATGCTAAAATACTCTTTAAACGTGACGCAGTCTTTGGAGAGAGGAAAAACAACTGAAACACACAGTTTTCAGTTACACCCCACCTGGTAACGCCAGAAGGTGAACCGCAGCAGCCGGAAGTCAGGGACCTTACCTGGGAACCAGGCACCCGTGCCAGCAGGACTCACCTCAAAGTTGTACTTCCGCATGTGGCTGAAGCGGCGGCAGTACAGGTAGAGCATGCCAATGCTGCTGCCCACGGCGATGTAGTCCCCGTTGGCGTCGAGCGCCGTGAGGTAGACCACCAGGGAGCGGAAACCCTTCTGCACCTTGGCAGGGATGGCATTGAGGAGATGGTACAGGGGGCAGAACTCTCGGAAGGTCACGGGGTCCGGTGTCGACGCCATGGCCACAGTTTCCACACACAGTCTTCCAGCAGGAAAAGGGGTGCGTGCTCGTCATCGAGGGAAAGCTGGGGTTGTAGAACAATGCGTTATCCTTTAGTGCCCCACCATGCAACCAAGAGGTGGTTTAACAGTGAGAAGGCCACCAGGCATGTCAGCATGTGCCTACAATTCTAGTGTTCTGGAGGCTGAGGCAGAAGGCCACTGAGAGTTCAAGGCCAGTCTGAAATACACAGTGGGACCCTGGCTCAAAAAAGAACGAAAAAAAAAAAAAAAAAAAAAAAAAAAAAAAAAAAAAAAACAAAAAAAAAAAAAAAAAAAAACAAAAAAAAAAAAAAAAAAAAACAAAAAAAAAAAAAAAAAAAAACAAAAAAAAAAAAAAAAAAAAACAAAAAAAAAAAAAAAAAAAAACAAAAAAAAAAAAAAAAAAAAACAAAAAAAAAAAAAAAAAAAAACAAAAAAAAAAAAAAAAAAAAACAAAAAAAAAAAAAAAAAAAAACAAAAAAAAAAAAAAAAAAAAACAAAAAAAAAAAAAAAAAAAAACAAAAAAAAAAAAAAAAAAAAACAAAAAAAAAAAAAAAAAAAAAAAAAAAGAAAGAAAAGAAAAAGAAAAACCTAACTAACATACCCCTCTTTTAGCAGAACTAAAGCTCCAGAAGGCTCTGAAATTGGCCCTAGGGCCAGGGATTTAGCTCAGTGGTTCCACTGCCTGCCTCACAAGCTCAAGGTCCCAAGTTTGATCCCTGCTGCCAAAAAAGAATAAAGAAATTGGCCCAAGGCTGCACAATTTCAGTGTCCAGTGCCACCGAAATCTGGACCATGAGCGCTGGTCCTGCCCAGACCATAAACTGACAACTTCCTAAGAGCCAGCCAGGCTTAGGGAGAGATCCCGACTTCAGAACTCCTGAATTACACAGGTGTTCTGAAAAGGCAGGTGGGGGCCCCCAACTCAGCCCTCAGCACACACACAGCAGCTGCCACCGCGGGCTGGCACCAAGGGAGAGCACTGGCCACCACGAGGCCACCAAAGACAGGCGTGCTGTGGCACAGATAGTGACGGCCAGCACTGCTCCTCAACAGCGCCACTCTTAGCACCCTGGCTCACGAATTCCTCCCATGGAACCCATGGGGGAGGCTCCACGGCCATCCCCACATCACACACAAGACTGTCCCCACCTGGATCATCCCTTCCACCTGCAAGGGACAGATGGAAGTGGCAACGGCTCTGTTGCATATGTACACAACCACACATCAAGGCAACAGCACTTATTTAATTTAAAGCAGTATTTTCTTTGTTCAACAGTCCTAAGTGCTCACTATGGGAAACTTGCTAATACAGATCTAGAAAAGCCCATAGCTGGGCACCGTGGCACTTGGGAGCTGAGGCAGGAGGATCCCCGTGGGTTCAAAGCCAGCCTGGGCCACATAGTGAGATGCTGTCTCAAAAAAACCACAGGGAAAAGTACAAAATAGAGGTCACTCATAAACCATCACGCAGATGAGTAGTATGCAGGCCACGTCACTATGCTACATCACTGTGCTGTGTGCAGATCGATATCTAAACAGCTGCAGATATGTGCACACACACAGAGCTTCTCACTTAATAGATCAGGAGCGTTTTCAATGTGGTTATTATTAAATATTCCCTAGCACAGTGACGGGGAGCCCGTCAGAGCTTTCAGTGATAACAGCCTGCCACGGCACATATGCCACACGTCTGCCACTGCCCTAGAACACAACTTTTAATGACTACAGAAAAACATGAAAGAACACACTGTAGATATAAGCTAAACCCTTCTCAACCAAAATGTTCTGACTGCACCATCATACACACCACTGACACAGACCCAGGACTATTCTCGGGGTGGGTGTCAGCAGGTAAAAAGGTCGAGCTGTTCCATGTCTTCTAATACCTTCCAGAGCAGTCACACTGACCAGGGTCACCCTCCTGTTTTTTCAAAGGACCCTGTGAGCACCTGGGGAGCAGGCTGAGGCAGCTCAGGTGGGCCCCTGGGCGACTGCACATGTCTAGGGCTCAATTCCCTGAGGCTTGTGCCTGCACCCAGGGTTCACATGGAAGGAAGACTGAGGCCGCCTCCCAGCAAAATGCAGCACTCCAGAGGCTAAGGCAGGACTCCATGAGCTCAAGGCCAGTCTGAGCTACACAGCAAGATCCTGCCTCAAAAAACAAAAGAGGGGCCGAGAATTTAGCTCAGTGGTGCCACTGCCTGCCTCACATGCACAAGGACCCAAGTTCAATCACCGGTGCCAAAAAAAACAGGCCACAGGGAGGAAGGCTGGGGCACTGTATCCTGCCTTGGGCTAGGCCTGTGAGAAATACTTTAGACCACAAACACTACAGTGGAGACGCTGCCCCTCCTGTGGCCAGTTCTCACACAGCCTCCTAGGCTCCACTCCAGCACACGGTCCCAGTAACACTGCCATCAAGCTGGCCCTGTCCCCCATGGAGAAGCAGCACTGTGACAGGATAAGGGCCTGGGAGTGAAAAGGCCAGGGCTCCAATGCCAGTACTACCCCACACTCTCGGTGGGGCCTGGGAAAATTACTACCCGCTCTTCATTTCTATTTACCCAACTGAAGATGGATTAACATGGGTAAATGGCTAATGTCTAGCACACACTTAGCCTTCCTGCTATATACTTTTTTAAATAGGGCCTTGCTAAATTCTTCAGCCTGGACTCAAACTTGTGATCCTCCTATTTTAGCCTCCTGGAGTGCTGGGATTATAGGCAGGTGACACCACCCCTAATTTAGCCTTGTACCTTTATCATTTTGATTTGTGCTGTGCTGTTTTGTTGTTTTGTGACAGGGTGCCAATTCACTTGTAGCCCAGGATAGCCTTGAACTCACAGTGATCTGCCTGCCTGAGTCTCCCAGGCCTCCAAGTGCTGCTGGGATTACAGGTATGTACTGACACGCCTGGCTGTGTCTGTCATTTATACAGCTGCTGGGGCCACACTCCGCAAGTTAGAAGAGAGTCATCATCCCCATTCCTTCTTCCCCCTCCCTTCAATCACTAGGTTTCTTCATTTTAGTCCCTAATACAGGGATGGCAAACCTTTTAGTGACCAAGTGCCCAAACTGCAATCCAAATCCACTTATTTATCCAAAAGTGCCAACACTGCAATTAAACCTGAACACTGAGATTTCAGTTTAGGAAAAACAACTTATACATTAATATCTCTTGTCTTACAAAAAAAACAAATCACAAGTGTGCCATAGGTTCACCACCACTGCCCTGAGGCCTCCCACGTGCCCCAAGCCATTGACCTCCCAAGGCTCAGGCCAATGTCACTGCCACCCCAACCTCTCCTGGGTGCCTGACCCAGCTGCACCACTGGCTCCCTCCCTTCTCATCTGTGGGCAAACAGACACGCTTTCCCTGGGACACCAGGCAGCCCACATATGGCCTCTGCCGCCCTGGGGCTCTGCGTCCTCCACCTGCCCCAGCCTTGCTGCGCAGCCACAGGTGCCAACTCAGGCACTGCTCACCTCCTGGCTTCTCCACACTCTGCCTTCGCCTCCCTGGGCACTGGCTCAGGCCATTCCCTTTGCTCTGAGCAGCTCAGACTGAGCAATCAGGGAAGAAGGAAGGCGTTTTAGCTCAGGTTGGACAGTGGCCAAAGGCCTGAGGCCCTTCTCTACAGAGCCCCAGGCAGCACAAGGCACAGAGGACCAGGCCAAGCAAGCTGGCCTCCTCTGCTTTCTCAGCCCTGCACAGGAAGCCACTAATCTATTCTTGGGGCTCTGCCCCCATGAGCACATCTAACCCTTCCTTTCTGGTGAAGGTCCCCTTTCCAAACACTTACCATGACTCCAGGCTAAATGTCCAATACAAGATTCCAGACTCACCCAACCACTGCAGAGCTTCCTTATCTGCTAGCTGGTGAGATACCCGAGAAGCTGAAGGAGTAAGGGGCACTTCACACCTCAGCTACTGTTATTTCCTCTTTTAAACTCTTTCTTAGCTGGACCTGATGGCATACACCTGTAATTGCAACACTTGGGAGGCTGAGGCAGGAGATCAAAACTTTGAATGGAGCCTGGGCCACTTAGCAACTTAGTGAGACCCCATTTCCTCAAAGAAGTTCTATCAAATTGACAATTTCCAAAACTTAGCCTGATTTGATAATGTTCACTGAGAGTTCCATAATTCCCATGTGAGAGTGGGTTTCTCTTTGGCACAACTGTGATCCTACTAACCAAAGTAACTTCCAAAGGTGCAGGGAAGGAGTGCAGGGCTGCCCTGGCCAGGCAGCTCCAATTAAAACTGTCCTGGGGTGGGGGCATAGCTCAGTGGTAGAGTTTTGTCCAGCAGCATAAGGCCCTGAGTTCCAGTTCCCAGAACTACAAAACAGAAAGCAAAACACTGTCACAGTTCTACAGTAGTACCACATAACCAAATTTTGAATCAAAAGTGTTGATCAGCCAGGCATGATGCATGCCTGTATTCCTAGCACTTGGGAGGCAGAGGCAGGAGGATGGCCACAAGCTCGAGGCCAGCCCAGGCAACAGTGGAGAGTTCAATACACAGTGAGACGCTGCCTCAAAAAACTGAAAACAAAAAGATAAAATTAAATCATTTGTAGGAAAATGGATGCACCTTGAGGCTATGCTAAATGAAATAAATCAGACGCACAATATTAAATACCACATTTACCACCTTATACAAGAAACTCTAAATATAAACAAAGAGCAAAATAAAAGATAATAAGGAGTTGGGAGATAGATCTTTTTCAAAAGAAGAGGATCAAGAGGTGGAGGAAAGGAGAGTGGGAAGGGAAAGCAGATAAAGAAAGGAAAGTGTGTATGTACACGTAAGCACACAAAGAATGTCAACATTACACACTGCAAACATGGACTAGGACAAAACCAGACCCCAGAGGGAGAGACACAAAGCAGCTCCGAAGACCAGGACTTAATGGCGACAAAAGACTCCAGGGGCTTCACTCCCAGATTCTGCCAAGAAAATTTCCCAGAACTCCCTTGCCTGAAGTTTCTAAACTCCTGTCTGGGGAGAAAGTCACCCCGAGTGTGACTTGGTAGCCCAGGAAAGGGTGCGCCTAGGCTGACCGCCCGCTTTCTGCCAACAAAGGGAACAAACAGAACAGAATAAAATTCTGAATCTCGGTTAAAAAGAGGAAAGACAAAGAGCAGGGAAGAGAAGAGGAAGGAGAGACTTAAATCAGGAGAAGTGAGGAGACTAAACAGCGACCGGGGCAGAGGCAGTGACAGGCACAGGAGGCGAAGCATTGCTCGGGACGGAGATCCCCCGACTCCACAGACCTGACTATCTGGCCTCCACTCCATCTTCCCCAGCAGCCCGGCCTTGACCCAGGCGCCCATTTTGACCCTTGATCCCCATTCTGCGTCCTAGGCCTCCCAGTAGGGATGACGGGGGTCGCTCACTGTCCACTTCGGAACACTCTCTGGACAGCCCCCCGTGTCAAGGCCTGAGGCGGACGGTGT